GCATATTTTTTGTGAATTTTCCTCACTGCCTTTTTATTACCATTAATTGTAACACATCTTAGCAGGTTCCACTTTAGATGGTACTGAATTAGAGTTTTCTCACCTTTTTTGAAAATATTATCACAAGTAATTGCTTAACATGCACTTTTTTTTATTTATTTTTTTTTGGACAGGCAGAGTTAGACAGTGAGAGAGAGACAGAAAGGTCTTCCTTCCGTTGGTTCACACCCCAAATGGTTGCTACGGCCAGCGCGCTGTGCTGATCGGAAGCCAGGAGCCAGGTGCTTCCTCCTGGTCTCCCATGCGGGTGCAGGGCCCAAGCACCTGGGCTATCCTCCACTGCACTCCCGGGCCACAGCAGAGAGCTGGTCTGGAAGAGGAGCAACCGGAACAGAATCTGGCGCCTCGACCGGGACTAGAACCCGGGGTGCCGGCACCGCAGGTGGAGGATTAGCCAAGTGAACCGCAATGCCGACCCACATGCACTAATAGTGCCCTTCTCATTGTTCAGTCACTCCAAACTTCTCATTGATTCCTGTTTACTCATCATCCCATAGCAGAACGCCGGTTTGCGAGTCAGCCACTCCAGTTCTGATCTTGCTTCCTGTCGCTCCCCCTCTTCATGGAGGAACGACACTAAACCCTGCCTAGGCTTCATATCCGAGTCACGGCACCATTATGTCACTCCCCGTCTTCGTGGAGGAACGACACAGGACCCTGCGCTGTTCTTTCGTCTGCTCGGCCCTCCCCGGGTTTGCTGCTGGTTCTTCCCAGGTTGGCTACTGCCCCTTCCACCTCCGTGGAAGGGCGGTTCCCCCTGCCACATTCCCCACTTCCGCGGGGGAGCGGCACACCGCCGGCCGGCTCTCTCGGGGGCTGCACAGGTGTTCCCTCAGATGTTCCCCTTAGATGTTCCTCGTGCATGTAGTCTCTCTCCTCCTTTATAGTCCTCTTCCACCAATCCCAACTCTGCTACCCACATGCCGAGTACGCTGCTCTCCTCCAATCAGGAGCAGGTCCTACAGTTTATTGGTTGAACTGGAGGCAGCTGTGTAGAAGCTGTTTCCCTTCTCAGCGTCATATTGTGGGAGAGCAGATGCATAGAATAAGTCTTAATTCCAGTAACTTAGTCTAGTCCGAGTTGCTCCCCACACTTCCTGCTAAAGGACCTACAAAGGCATCAGTTGACGGCTGCCTTTACAGTACCTGGGTCCCTGCCACGCATGTGAGAGACCAGGATCGAGTTCCTGCCTGGCCCAGACCTGGCTGTTGCCGCCATTTGGAGAGGGAACTAGCAGAACTCTCTCTCTCTCCATCTCTCCTTGTTGCTCTGCCTTTTAAAAAATTTTTTTTATTTATTTATTTGAAAAGCAGAGTTACAGATAGGCAGAGAGAGAGAGAGAGAGAGAGGTCTTCCTTCTGCTGGTTCACTCCCCACATGGCCACAACGGCCAGAGCTGAGCTGATCCGAAGTCAGGAGCTTCTTCTCTGCCATAAGCAGAGAGCTGGACCAGAAGTGGAGCAGCCAGGACTCAAACTGGTGCCTGTATTGGATGCTGGCACTGCAGGAGGAAGCTTTACCCCCTACGCCACAGCACCGGCCCCTGAAACAAAACTCGACCCACTCCCAAGTTCTCATATTCTTGGCTTCCATTCATTAAATGACCTGCAATTCAACTGCTCAGGCTCTAGAAACTTGAGATCTTCCTTTTTACTTTCCCAAATCTCTATTATTAATCCATTAGAATGTCCTGCCTCCAAATATAATTTTAGTTTGCTTACTTCTCTCTGTATCTGCTCCCATTACCCACCTCTTGTCTGCACTATTGAAATAGCATATTTGGAGGGCTACTGCTGTGGCAAAGTGGGTTAAGCTGCCATCTGCAGTACTGGCATCCCATATGGGCGCCGGTTCAAATCTCAGCTGCTCCATTTCCACTCCAGCACTCTGCTAATGCGCCTGTGAAAGCAATGGAAGATGGCTCAAGTACTTGGGCTCCTGCACCCATGTAGAAGACCCGGAACAAGCTCTTGGCTTCAGCCTGGCCCAGCCACAGCCATTTGGGGAATGAACCAGTGGATAAAAGATCTCTCCTCTCTGTAATTCTTTCACATAAATAAATCAATATTTAAATATTTAAATAAAAAAAAAAAAGGAATAGTGTATTTAGTTTCCCTGCTTGCATTCTTGCTTCCTAATGATCCAATATTCACTCTGTAGCTACAGGAAATCTCTTCAACATGTTAAGAGATCACTACTCCGCTACTTAAAACTCTATTGTCATCAATTCTGCTTCCAAATCTAAATTCCTTTCCTGACCTGCACAGCTCTCCATGATCTGGCCCCAGCCTACCTCTCCAATCACACGTGCCATCCTTCTTCTGTAGCTCCAAGCCCATCAGTATCCCTGTGAAGCAAACTAATTTCCTTTCCAGACTTTTCATCTACTAATCCTTTCCTAGAATCAACTTCAGTGTGCCTGGCATTGTTGTGAAGTAGGTTAAGCCTCCGCCTGCGGTGGCGGCATCCCATATGGGCACCTGTTCCAGTCCTGGCTACTCTACTTCCGATCCAGGTCCCCCTAGATGGTCCAAGTGCTTGGGCCCCTGCAACCACATGGGAGACCTGGAGGAAGCTCCTGGCTTCAGTCTAGCCTAGCCCTCTCTATCTGTTGCACTTTTTGTGTAGTGAACTAGCAGATGAAGATCGCTCTCTCTCTGTGTAATTATGGCTTTCAATAATCTGAGACCAGCATGCAAAGCTGGCATCCCATATGGGCACTGGTTTGAGTCCCGGCTGCTCCACTTCTGATCCACCTCCCTGCTAACACGCCTGGGAAAGCAGCAGAGAATGGCCCAAGCACTTGGGCCCCTGCACCCATGTGGGAGACCTGGAAGAGGCTCCTGGCTCCAGCCTGGCCCAGCCCTGGCAGTTGCGGGCATTTGGGGGGTGAAGCAGCAGATAGATCTGTCTCTCCCTCTCTGTAGCTCTGCCTTTCAAATAAATAAATAAAAATCAAATAAATGGATTTTTAAAAAATTTTTTTACTTGAAAGGGAGACAGAGATCTTCCATCCACTGTTCACTCCCCAGATACCTGCAATAGCTCGGGCTGGGCTGGGCCAAGAGCCCAGAATTCCACCTGGGTCTCCCACAAGCCATGGCAGGGACCAAGTACTTCAGCCATTATCATTCCCACCTCCTAGGATGTACAGTAGCAGGAAGCTGGATCAGAAGTGAAGCAGGCACTCCAACATGGGATGCAGGCATCTCAAGTGGCGCCTTAACCTTGCACCAAACACCTGCCCCTAGAGGATATTTTGGAAGAGCTCAGACTTCAAGGAAATAAGTATGTACTTAGCTAGTTTAAACCAGCTCTGCCTCTTAAAGAGAATCCAGGGTCCAGGCCCCTAGGATGCCTTCTGCTTTTTCATCAGTGCCTTCAACAGAGCAGGCAGTTGTTAAAAAGAGAACCAAAGGAATTTGTAAAGTCAGAAGGCAAAAAGTCTTCCAGGGTTTGTGACACACAATAACAACAGTGGTAACATCTAATCCTAAGCACTACATGTCTCATCTTCTGTACAATATCCACACTTAAAAAAACTAAAAAAAAACCTCTAATAAGGTATTTTACTTGATTTGATTAAAGTAACAGCACAGTGTTACAGGGATTGGAAAGCAGGCTCAATGACTTGAATATCGACTAAGTTCAGATGAGGCTTTAAGAATCCCCAGATGGGGAACACACGGAGACTCCCTTGGGTGGGCCTCTTGCTGGGGGCCAGCCAGCACCCTCTCTCCACTCTCCTGGCCTCGGTCTTCAATTTCCCTTTGAGGATTCCACGTCTACTTTGTCACCACGTTGGTGGGATCCATGATCAAGGTGCTCTGGCCAGAGGATGGACATGAGGCTGAGTTTTCTCCTGGGAAATTCTGAGATAAGAAACTAGAACAGGGGATCGCTCTAAAACCTGTGCCCAGGGATCATCACTCCAAGGAGCCCGGTCTTGGAGCTGACCCTGGTCTTGTCCTTCCATTCCGGAAACCACTCCATATCCTTTCATAATCTCCATTTTGATTAGGTCAGAGGCAGTTCCCACGGCTTGCAACCAAAGGATCTTGGCTGCCAGGGTGTGTGCCAACAAGGGCTGGTGGGACTAGTGAAGGTTCAAGGTGGGCAAATCCCCTCCCTAACCCCTCTTCCAGTGTGTTCAGTCACTACCATGGTAATGGGACAATGGTGGCTCTTTTGAGAAGCAGACAAATCCCAATTAGGAGAATTCACCTTCTCAGGCACAAAGTCACATTTTAGCCCTTGTGAGTGTCATATCTGGTAACTTTTTTAAAAGGATTTATTTGCTGATTTGAAAGGCAGATTTACAGAGAAGCAGAAGCAGAGAGTCTTCCATCTGCTGGTTCACTCCCTAAATAGCCACAACGGTCGCAGCTGGGCCAATCCAAAGCCAGAAGCCAGGAGCTTCTTCCCAGGTCTCCCACACAGGTACAGGGGCCCAAGCACTTAGGCCATCTTCTACTGCTTTCCCAGGCCATAGCAGAGAGCTGGATCAGAAGTGGAGCAGCCACTCGAACTGGTGCCCATAAGGGATGCCAGCACTGCAGGTGGTGGCTTTACCTGTTATGCCACTGTGCCAGCCCCATCTGGTAACTTTTGAGAAACACATTTTGGGGAAGGTTGTCATCCCTGGCCCTATAGTCCTCACTTCAACTACTGTGTTTACTAGTTCATCACTTTAGCCACCCACTCCCATGGCCACACAGAAGTTACATTTGTGAAACCCCAGGGCACCTATAAAAAGAGATTTTACTCAAGCTTCCTTTGTGGCACTGTAGTCACACTATCACTGATTTATCATACCACATTGTAATTGTTTGTCACTTTGGTAGTAGCTGTGAAGTTTTCCAGGGCAGAGTATTAACCAGGGTCTGATACAGTGTTTTGCACTAGATGTTTGTAGAATAAGCAAAGCAACACCCGAATATACGTAACACAGGAAGTCAGGGAATATTATAGGTAAAGATCACGTGAACCAACCCCTTTAATAAAATACAGAGAACCAGTTAGGAAGTGCACATCACCCACCCCAGCATAACAAATGGTAACAGTTCTGAAAAGTAAACTAGGCTGCTTGCAGTTACTCAGAGGAAGGTCAAGGCCTAAATCCAGAGCAATGTTCTCTCCACCAGTGTGAAATCATCCAACTCTTCTCTCATCAAGAAAAGCTAGTACAAAAATGCATCCAAGTCTAGCTCTGTTCTCACACAAATTATTCAATCTAGCCCACTGTCAGTTTAGATTTCAGGGCAGAGTTTATTAGAAGAAATTAGGCAATTAGGAAACTGTAGATTCCCCTGCCCCTAATTCCGATATCTACCCCTATACCTCTCCACAGAGGAGCTGTCTCTGTCACACGTGGGTGGGATGCAGAAGCAGGCGGCGTATGGTCCCACTGTGCAGTTCCTCTCTAGTGTTCAGCATGCGCTGTCTCGGCCCTGAGCTCCTCCGACCATGGCAACTTGTTCAGAGAGCAGTGGTGCTACCCTGAGAGCATGTTAGGTCAGCTGCCATCTCCTGAGTTCAATGATCACATTCCAGTCACTGTGATCAAAATACGAGTTATTAGTTGTGGTCAAAGGTAGACAAGAGGCACTAATTGTTGAGGGAATACCCTCCATCAAAGAGGGTTCTAGGAATGACATGTGGAATGCTCGGCTTAAAGTGCTCACTACAACGTTAAAAAAAAAGTGTTGGAAAGGTGCCTACTGGTGAGAAAGCTAGGTACAATCTGAGGGAACAAAGCGTACATAAGAACTCTGCTCACATCATTCCAGCCATGATGAGGGAGAGCACAGTTTAGAGCTGAGTCTCAATTACTAGACCTCTGAATGAAACATATCCCTGACTGGAGACCAGCTCTTTAACTCCTCATGGAGACCGAACAAAACACTGACCACTATGTACGTCTTTTTGCTGTTCATTGTTCCCTCACCAAATAACCTTCCAATCTGAAACCTGGTTTCCTCCATGGATACTACCACTATAAAAAAGTCTACTATGGGCAAGTGAACAGTTTAAGAATGGTCTACAAACTATTTTCCTGTAGGGTGGTTAGCAAAAACCTGAGGTGAGATGAGAAATCTGAGTTTCCAAATCTGGCAGACTGAGGCCTACACCCAAGGACAAGAGATCCGTAACATATTTATCCACTGGGCATGATTATGAGATCCAGGTCTGGGGTAGTAAAGGGCACGAATCCATCAGCAGCAATGGCTACCTTCTCCTATAAGTTGGTGGATGGCCTCAGCTGTCACTTGTAAGTCCAGTGGGCAGTGGCCCAACCCTGGCCCTTACACAGGTCTCGGTGACGAAGGAAACAGGCGTGGACCCGGAACCGACGGCCACAGTGGGGACAAGCATGCAGGGCTCCGGCATGGGTCTTCATGTGCTCTGTCAGATGGTGCTTCAGTTTGAAGCGCTTATTGCAGATGCCACAGCCAAAAGGGCGAAGGCTGAAGGTCAGCATGATGTGGCGGTCACGCTTTGGCTTCACTGCAAAGCGCTTCCCACACAAGCAACCAAAGCGTTTTCCATCCGCAGGGGGTGCCCCGCCTAGCTTCACGGGACCGTGCACAGCCTGCCCAGCTCCCCCGGGCCCTCCACCGCTGGACAGAATTTCATTGCCATGAAGATCCACTGGTTTCCAGGATGGACCGCCTCCCCCAGATGCTGCCCCTACGCCTGAGGGCAACAAGAACCCCAGCTCCCCACTCCCCTCCGGGTCCCCTCCAGGAAATGCTTTGGTCTCCTCCTTTATTCCTCCAGACTGGGTTCCACCTCCTGACAACTCCTCCTTAGACTCAAAGGGTTCCTGCTTAATGTAGAAGATTTTAGGGGGCACTGCAGCAGGAGCGGCAGGAACCTCAAGTGGTGCATTTTCGCCCTCTGGCAGCCTGCGGGGAGTAGCAGGTACGGGCAAGGCGAGGGATCCGTGAGGACGGGGCAGACTCCCTGATACCCTCTGAGGCTGGGGCGTCTGCGAGAGGGTTGCTGACCCCTGGCCCTCCTCGTCGTCTTCCTCCTCCTCCTCTTCCTCCTCCTCCTCCACCTGAATCTGTAACACCTCTCCCAGTTCACTCCCCTCCCCTCCGATGGGGCTCTCAGTAGATGCAGGTCTCTCGGCAGGAGCGGAGGGCTGTGCTGGGGCCTGGAAAGGGGAAGAGCGAATGCACCAGCCTCCTGGAGAGGATGTGGTGGAAAGAAGTGCATGGTAGGAGGAGGCTCCTCGGGCTGAGATCCCACCACCTGAAGTCTCCAGCTCCTTAAGGATCTCCGAGCACTGGTCTACCACTTGCCACATCTGAAGGCCGCTGGCCACAAGGAGGTGGGCGGGGAGAGCATCCAGTGGCAGGCGGAGGTGCCCTGAATAAATGAGCTGCAGCAGCCCCTCGAAGGCATCGGCTTCGATGACGCTCGGGAGGGTGAGCCGTGGCGCATCGCCCAGAAGCAGCTTGTCGTGGAAGTAGGGAGAGGCGGCAGCCAGCACCGCTTTGTGGGCCCTAAGTTCCCGGCCCTGCACCAGCAGGGACACATCGCAGAACTTTCCCTCCAGTCTGTGGCGGTTCAGGGACTCCAGCAGCGCTGAGCTGTGCTGAGGGAACTCGATCTGGATTGTCCGCGGTGCTGAGCTGCACACTGCGGAGGGGGGCGCGGCAGGCAAAGGCGTCGAGGTCTCCATGGCCTCCTCGGAGATCCCAGAGGGTCGGCAAGAGGAGACGGAGTCTGGGGTGGAACCCACGTGAGAGGAAGGCTGTGGAGCAAAAGAGATGGGGTGCGGGGGTGGGGGGATGTCACACAAGCCCCAGAAAACGGGAACTGTATCTCCGCAAACAAATGCCCCCCTCCCACCTACAAGTAGAAACTCTTCCGGCCAGTGGCTGTGTCTGTATACCAGTCCCGCCCACCAAGAAGACAAAAACAAACAAAACACGAACCCCTGGTTTTAGCTTCCAGGCCTTGTGGAAGATGAGGAGGTCCTTCGGCTACCAGCCTAACCTCAACAGCTCCGGGTCGACTCCCGGCCCGGCGTTCCGTCCCGCTTCGCTTCACTCACTGTGCCCGCAGTGGCCAGCTCCCGGGTAGCCGCAGCCACGGGGATATCACGAGCCCCGGACCCCAGCCGACACGCCCCCGCCGTCACACACGCGGCGAGGCCCTCGCAGCCTCTCTGCAGCTACGGCGCCGTCTCGGGCCGGAAGCCACCCCTCCCCGCCGGACGCCGACGCCGGGAGAGGCGGGGGGGGGGGGGCACAACTGCAGCCAATCGGAATGGGGCGCCCTACAAGCCCTGTGTTGATTGGTTGCCCGGGCGAGAAGGGGCGGGCCGGCGGCGCCAGGGCGCGAGCGGGTGGGGGCGTCTCGGGGAGCTGCGAAGGGGAAGCCGTGGCTCGGGAGACCGCAGCCCGGAGAGGGCGGGCCGCTAGCCGCCCGCAGCGCCGAGGTGCTGGGGGACGAGGTGAAGTGGCACCTTGTGTGCCCCCGGCCCGGCGAGCAAGGCGTTGCCGTCCTCGCCGTCCGGGCCGGGGAAACGGCAGTGCTGGGTCTGGAACTCAGATTAGCTGAGGCGCTGAGTGCTCCCCTGCAGTCCGCACGGAATCGTGCCCTTCACCAATTAAACAAAGCCAGCTTCGTTTCTGGGTTCTCTTATATCCCGTCCTCTTTGCTCCTGGGGGTAAGTGAAGCAAGCGGTGGGTGCCAGTCGGCTGGACTGGGGAAGTCTGGGCCGTACGAACCCCCTCCCTGCCCCCAGACTGCGTCTCCGCGCGGGGCAGCGCTTCTGTGCGGAGACCGGCATCGGGCAGGGATGTCGGCTTCCCTTCCAGGCTGTCCGCTCCCTCTCAGAAAAATAAAAGTCCTGTCACCCCCAGGCTAAGAAAGTCGGCACAGCGATAAAAGAACAATCTCCGTTTATTAAACATGATTTTTCTGTTTCACCACACACTCCAGAAAAAAAGGAAATGGGGCTGGGAGTGGAGAAAAAGGGGCAGCGGTGGGGGATAGAGAAGGCTGGGAGTGGGTTGGGGAGGGAGAACGAGAAAACAAAATAAAACGGGTAGGAAGAGCATCTCCCTACCCTTAAGGTGGCGGGGGGGAGGGGGCCAGGAAGCTCTGTACAGGGGGGTTGCCCCCAGCCCACACACACACACCCCGGATATGTACAGTACAAACCCCAGATAATTACAACAGCCAAAGAGGAGAGGAGGAAGGGGGCAGGAGAGGGGAAGGCTGAGGTGGGGAAAGCAGAGGGAAGGGCACAGGGATAAAATTTCACATATTTACAACTTTTATATAAGTATAAATTTGGCCCCGGCTGGGTGTATGTGTGTAGGGGGATGGGACTGAAGGGGAACTGTCCATACAAAAGAAAGAGGGGAGGAGTCTGGGAAAAGTCTCAATACCAAACGCAAGAAGGGATGAGGGGACAAGGCTGGGTAGGGGACAGCAGTCAGGGAGGAGGGGGTACCAAGGAGGGGCTTCTTCCCTCCCATGGCCTACCCACCCCAAACCCCATCCATCCTACCTCCCCTATCCCGCCAGAGAGCTATGTACAGAGAAACACCGAAAAATTGTGGAGCTGGCGGGAGGGAGAGAGGTGGAGGGAGATTGGGGGGGGGGGGGAGGATGAGAGGGAAGCCCAGCCCTGTCCTACCTCCCCCAGGGGACAAAGTCATGGAAGGGGAGCCCCCCAATACCCCTCCTCCAACACAGGTCCCCCCACCCTGGGGGAGAGAGACATGGCTTTTCCTAGAGTAAGTTCCCCCCTCCCCCTGGGAGTAGAGACCAAGAGAGAGGGGAGGGGTTGGGGGGAGGGGCTGCGTATGTCAGTGTAGGGCAGATCAACAGGTCTGTCCTTCCAACATACACACCCTCCTAAACCCTACCCCCTCACCCTAACCTCAATTCCACCCCACCCAACACACTGGGGCAGGGGGGGGCATAAGCCCCCTCACCCCGCTCTGGGACCAGCCGAGAGCAGATCAGGTGTGGGAAGAAAGGGAGACAACTCCCGTTCCCCCCTTGCCGCCCCCTCCCTGCCCCGGTGGCCCCCTCCACCCATCGGGTTCTGGGTGGGGAGGGAGTAAATTTAAGAGTGGTGGGAGGAGAAGGAGTTTGTGCGTGCTGAGCCCCCCCAGACGCTCCTGAGAAATCAAGGGGTAATAGGGCCCCCTCACCCGGGGTCCCCTCCCCATAACAAGGGGGGCAGGGGAGGCCAAAATGGGGCGGTGGAGGGGAGTTAGATTGTCAGCTCTGGTTACTGCTAAAAAATCACCCTGAAGTTGAAAGTTTGGAGGTGCCACACCCCCAGGGTGGGGGTGAGGGTCTGTCCCCCAGTGCTCAGGGGAACGATGAGGCAGAGGATGGGGATAGCACCCCGAAGTGAAGGGGTCTGTGTAGGGTAGGCATGTGTCCTGGGGCGAGGGTCCCTGGGGGGGTCAAAGGGGGCAGCACCCCGACAGGAAGGAAAAGAGGGCGCTCTCCCTCCTGGAAATGGTGCGGTGGGGGTGGGGGATCCAGGCCCCCAAGGAGCCATTCAGGGAGGCAATCCTGCTGTCCCTCGGTGCCGTCCAGTCCTGGTGGTTGGTGCTGTTACGGGGTGGGGTGCGTGGGGAAGGAGAAGGTCTGTGATGCTGGGTGGGCTAGTGGTCTGCGGTGTTTCGGAACTCGCCGTTCTCCGTGATCTGCAGCCGGGGTGGGGGAGGCGGGGCTGGGGGGGCCAGGCCGTTCCAAGGTGGGGCCAGCGTCACACGCGGGTTTGTTGGACCCAAGGGGGGAAGCTGCCTCTCCTGCAAGACACCAAAGAGGAGAGCGCGGACTTATTGAGACGCTTCGCGGGGGCCTGGGTGCTAGCCCCCTTAGCATAGCCTCCCCCCCAGCCAGCCCACTCCACAAGCCAGGGCCCACCCCCCACCTTCCAGAGCAATCCCTACCATCTTCCTGTTTTGTTTCTCACCTGCAGGAGCCTCTGGGGGGGTCAGGAAGAGAACCTCAACCCCAGATGCCCAACAGGGGCCTTCACACCAGGAAGCAGCTTGAAAGCAACAAGCTCCTGCCTCACCCCCAACCTAAGCCCTCTTAGCTTCACCCCTCCCAGCCCACCCCCACTCCCAGGTAGGCCTATTGTATTGAGGAACAAGGGGAGGCAGTACAGCCAAACCTCATTAATCCAAACCCCTGTAGGGTTGGAATTTTTTCATAATTTGGAAAAAAAAAAAAAAACCACCATGCCTGCGTTTTCTTTTATTTATGAAGAAAGGGTGTGCTCTGTAAATGAGTGGTGGAAATATGTCTGTGGGAGGGGCTATTGAACCGATAGTAGAAAACAGACTTTTCAATCCTATTCATGAACGCATGCTAAGGGCCTGAGTGGAACGAGCCTTGTTCACCAAGTGCTACTTACTGTATATATTTTGAAGACATGCATTTCATTAACTAGACACTGTCATTCAGTTTTGTCACTTATTCAGAGTGGCCATCTTCTCAAATATAACATTCCAAATTAGAGAGGTTTAACTGCACTGGGAGGAAAGGAAGGGGATTCAGGGAGGTGATGTGGGAAGGGAACACTCCAGTGGGAGGCTGGTAGAAAGGCCTAGGAGCTTCTACAGAGTCGCAGCAGGCCCCAGTCTCTGCTTCCCCGGGAAGCAGATTCTGCCTTTGTCCCTTTCCACCCCCACCTTCCTTCCTTTCAGTCCTCTCCCAGAGCTCCTAGTTAAAGGGCCAGAGGTTCCAGACCCTCCTCCCACCCCTGGTCCTATCTGCATCACCTCCTATGGCTCCTGAACTCATTTCTGGCTCCTACCCTCAGCCTTACCTTCTGTTCCTCTGCTGGGAGAGAAGACAGCCATCTGAATGCCCTTACACTAACGGTCACTTGGATTTTTTAAAATTCAAGCTCAGGGCCAGTGCTGTGGCAGAGTAGGTTAAGCCTCTGCCTGCGGCACCAGCATCCCGTATGGGCGCCGGTTTGAGTCCTGGCTGCTCCACTTCAGAGCCAGCTCCCTGCTAATGGCTGGGAAAGCAGTGGAAGATGGCCCAAGTCCTTGGGCCCCTGCACCCAATGGGAGACCAGGAAGAAGCTCCTGGATCCTGGATCCTGGATTCTGGCTTCAGATCGGCCCAGCCCTGGTCGTTGTAGCCACTTGGGGAGTTGAACCAACAGATGAAAGACCTCCCTCTATCTGTAACTCTGCTTCTCAAATAAAAAAAAAAAAAAAAAATTCAAGCTCAAAATTAATTTTAAATTAAAGGCCGAGTTGCCAAGGGACCAGTCCCTACAAATGGTTTAGAACCAATGTTAAAATCCTTTCCTGAGCCGCAGGAGCCTTAGGCCTGGCAATGTAGCTATGCCTGACCTGTCTCCAGAGGATACAGAAATATTCCAAGTCAGGTTGCCCAGGGCAGCGCTCTCTTCCATCCCAGGGTCACAGAGCTCACCCCTCAGAAGGTCACCCAGACTCCGGTGTTAAGCAAAGCTGCCCTGTCTGCTTGCTGGTAGCTCACACACTGCAGTCAGGGAGCGGAAACTACAGATGGTGTCTGAGGACGGCAGGGAGCAAGGGGAGAGCCCCTCCAGGTCCCCTCCCGAGGAGGAGGCTCGTCTGCTGGCGACAGCACGCAGGCATGCCCCTACACCCCCATGGACCCAAATTTAGAAAGTAGACAAATTAGGGTACCATTATTCATTTTACAAAAGAATTCACTGCAGGAGTCCTTTGAATGGTAGGGTCCCCTGGTGCCTTGTAGCATCTGTTTACAGATCACTGACTACTTTGACAGAGAGACTGGGCAGGCAGAGAGTTAAAATTACAGTGTGGGGAGCCACTGCCCACTGCAGATCAAACCTGCAGAAAACAAAGCATCTCAGAAATGACGCGTGGCTGACAGGTTCCCAATTACTGGCTTTTTAGCTAGGATTATGTGTCCGGCAAGGCCAGGGGGTGGTGAGAGAGGGGGAGTGAGCTCTGACAGAATGGAGAGGTTACTGAACGTGCTGTTGCCGGCATCTGCCTGGGAATCAGCATGACTCCCTAGCCCTGATGGTCTGAGCTGGGAAGACATCTTCCCGCACTTCTAACTCCCGGGCCGCATGGGCAGGTCTACGTCCTAGGGTCTGTCCAAGGTTCCTTTCTTGTTCCTCCTTGTTCCACCCACACTGCTTACGGTTGGGACATTCCCACAGCATTTTTTCCTAGCCTCCCCCAGCCCCAGT